AATTCTTGTGGAGTTAATTCTTTTAGTTGTTTGTTTTCTTCTTCTAGTTGCTTAATTCGATCTAATAGTTCCTGTTTTTGTCTTTTATGCCAATCTTCAGCCACTTCTAAGGCTTCCAAGTGTGTATCTACTTCCTCTTTTAACTGTCTTTCCTTTTCTTGCAAGCCATTTATTTGCTGTTTGTAAAAAAAATGCCATTCCTCCATTTTGATGAGGTAAAAGAGGAAGTTCTTTTTCATTTTCCTCTTCTTTGCAATCACAAGTATATCTAGTCTTTAACCTTCCACAATCACACTCAGGCAATTTATCATTTTCAAACTTCTCTTTACAGTTTTCACAAGCCTTATCACTTTCAACCATTTCACCAGTCACTTTGCTTCGTGTTCTGATTTGACAAACTGCTTTTTTCAAACCAGGGCAGAAAACACAAGTAGAATTACTGCTGTCATTCTTCTAAATCTAAGATTGTGTAAAGCAGTTCTCTCATGACTACTTAACTAGAACTTCTATTTTAGCAACAATTGCTTGACTGTGAAACTTCTCTCTTTTGATTAATTTCTGCAACTGCTGAACCTTGGCTTTTGTTTTTGTTTTTAATTGTTTGAAAATGCTTTGTTTATTTAAAGTCCTACTTTCTACTTCTTTAGGAAGAGAGGGTAAGGGTTTTCTTTCCAAATATAGTTGTGATTTTAATTCTTCTCTTTCTTTTGCTTCATCCTCAAATCTCTGATCATTCTTTCTTAACATTTCTAATTTTTGGGCTAATTCTTCTTGCAACTTTGCATTCTTTGTTCAAGCATTTTATCAGACTTTTGGAGCATTAGTGATTTTTCTTTGATTTCATCATTCAAAAGACCTTTTTGTCAATTTTTTCATTCTTCAGCTGTATCTAATGCCCAGAAAAGTCTTTAGCATCCTTTTCCCATTTTTCAATAACTTCAATAGCAACTTCAACTGGTTTATCTTCATTTTCATTTATTAACCCTTTTAAATCTTCTTTGTGCCAATAATCTCAATCATTTTTTTCTTCTTGTTGCTCTTCCTTAAGGCAAGTATTGAGAGTTTTAGCCATATTTTCTTTTAAATTTTCAACTTGTTCTTTAAAAGGAGTTAATTCAGCAACTTTTTTTTCTAAAAGAGCATTCTTTTCTTTTAATTTTTCATTTTTTTGATAAATATAACTATAAGAATCACAATTAAGTAATGTTCATTCACTAAAACCTTTAACCACATTTTCAAGAGTGAAATTGTTGCCAAAAATAACTTTCTCAACTCCATTTTCTTTTTGAATCTTTACTCAACCATCCTTAGGTCAAAAATGTTTTCTAAGGTCATTAAAGTTCCAGCAATTTCTGGACTTTCATTTTCCTTAACATTGTCAATAGCATTTCAAATTCTTA